ATATATATATATATATATATATATATATATATATATATATCCTAAATGTAAAATTAGATATTTGTGGTTAACCAGAAGAAAAATACAAAGAATATTTTGAGAAGAAAACTATATTCAGGAAAGAACAATAACATAGCTGTTAATAGCATAGGTTTCCCTTAAAAAGTCTTTTACTTACAGCATTTCCTCTTGCTTTTGACAAATATTTTTAACTCAATAGTTAGGTTCCAAACCGACTATGCATAGAGTCATTCAGAAAGCTATATAATAAACTAAGAGGACAACTGCAGTAGGAACTCTGGGAATCTGTATTTCTAAAGAATCCTTATCTATTGCCATCTTTTGGAATCATGGTAGAACCACTGTGGAGGTATTTGGTTTCAGTGATATAAAATAGTACTTAGGGCTTTAGGGTTTAGGAAAAAGTATGGAAGGTGCCTTTCCATCTTTTCTCTTAAAACCATGCAAGAGGAATGAATAAAGTATTCATCACTTATTCCCTTTTGCAAAACTTTGAGACAGACCAAAAAAATTCATTCAAATAATTTTGGATAAAAAACAAACAACATATAGAATGAGTGTGGAAAGCTGTGCACGACATAGCAGGAAAGGAAAGCCACAGGGCCCAGGAGTCGCAAAATCCTGCTTTTCTCATTCTCCATATTCAACAAGGAGTAATTCCCAGAAGGAGTGGGCCACACCCTCAACAGAAACATTTGTGGGCACATCTGAGTGCAAAGTGAGTAGGCAATGCTGGGCGAGCAGAGAAGAAGAGGCATGGCAAGTGTACAAGGAAAGAGTACAGACCTTCAAAAAGGGGGTAGCGTCCTTGGTGGCACCAGCTAATGGCTTAAGGCAGGAAGGAAACAGCAATGACTGACACCCTCCTGAAACAGGAAAAGATATGGGAATCAATGGAAATCTGGCCACCAGAAGTCATCACTATTAAAGAAAGAAACTGTTGTTTATTACTTAGCAAGAAGAGGATGCCCTTGAGAAAAAGCAAAAACAACTATGAAAGCTACCCTAACCATTTTTTTTTTTTTTTTGGCTAGGGAATCTTCCTGTCAATAATTGCTCTAGAAATATTTAATATATTCACACTTAAGAAAAAATTTGTTATAATATAAGGGAAAAAAAGGACTCTCAGAATGTCATAAAAGGAATTCTGAAAAAGGAAACATAAGGAAATGCCACTGCAATGTGAAGAAAAATTGGCAATACTTTGAACATGAATTTTGTAAAACTTTTTAAAGTAGTAAGTTCACAAAGCAGAAATAAAGGCATTTGGAGAAGAGAGGGCCAGAAAACAAGAGCCTATGATAAAGAATTGACAGAACCAAGAAAATAATTGAAAAGGTAAGAATTGACCCACAAAAGTCATTTAAGAAAACTGAAGTACAAGAAGCTGAAGTAACACTAAGATGACACCATGGAATTGTCAGCAGCACCATGAAAAGCCAAGTATCTTTCTTGTCTAGAAAAGTTTCAATACATACTTTCTGAATAAATACATTGCTAAATCAAACCATTAAGGGGGAAAAAAGCAAAGAAAAAGAAACAAAAATCAACTAAGGAGAAACTCCTGGTTTTCAGTCCGGAATGTACAGAGTTGCTACTCCATCCTAACAAGGGAAAAGCTGAACAAACTGAAACATCACCTCTTCTTAGATCTATCAGAGAAGTTAGGTCACAAGGTGAATTGCTTTACCAAAAGTTGGAAGACAGGTGGATGCAGAGAATTAGAACTAACAGGAGCTATTGCCAGTTACTGCCAACACACAAGGTTAGAACAAATTTAATTATGGATTGTGTTAGTCAACTTTTCATCGCTGATAAAATACTTGAGAAAATCAGCTTAAAGGAGGAAAGATTTATTTTGGCTTATGGTTTCAAATGTTTCAATTCATGGTCATTTGTCTCTGTTGTTTCTGAGCCTGTGGTGAAGCAGAACATCACTGGAGTAGGGAAGAGTCTGTGGCAGAACAAAGCTATTTACCTCATGGTATCCTGGAAGCAGAAAAAGTGGGGAAGAGGCCATGGACAAAATAGATACTTCTGGAACCTGCCCTAAGTGGCCTTCTTCTTTCAACTTGGCCCCACCTCCTAAAAATGCCATCATCCATGAACTCATTAATGGATTTATCCATTGATGAGGTCAGAGCCCTCATGGTCTAATTACCTTCCAAAAACATTGCTGCATTGGGGACCACACCTTCCACATATGAGCCAAACCATAAAATAGATCTAATTGACCTCTAGTCATAATTCATGAATTGAGGCAGCCTGCATTCTACAAAATAGATGGAGAGCTCCCTCCTGGCAGTGGCAGAACAATGGGTTTTGTAAGGTTGGAACCAGGAAACAAGAATAGTACAAAGATGATTGGTTAAGATCAAGTTACTTCAGCTTATTATTATTTTGTAAGGGTTAAAGCAGAAGAGACTTCCTTATTATACTGACACTAGCAGACTGAAATCTGTTTTGGGGAAAAACTGGTCTTTTGGAGGTCTTTCTACTTCCTTGAAGTTTCAGTTTATGTAACATTTATCAAGAGTGACTCCATTTTGGTTAATTCTGGTCTGCTGGGGTCTCATGCAACAGTTCAATCTACAACAATGGGCTCCTATAATTTTTGTTTAATAGTAGGAAAACCTAAATTGTACTTTGATTAATCCTGGAGGCTTAGTGTGAACAAATCTGAAAGAAAAATTCCAGGGGGACTTAATCATAAGAGGACCTCATACAAATGCATCTTGCCTCCAAAAGCTCTACTAGGGCTTCACAGTGAATATTGAAGAAACAGTCCATCAATCTTTGAGCAAAAGGAGGGGAATGGAAACCATTTTGAAATACCTCGGAGTACTTTGTTCTTTTTTTTTTTTTTTTAAGAGAATTTTTTAATATTTATTTATTTATTTATATTTTTTTAGTTTTCGGCGGACACAACATCTTTGTTTGTATGTGGTGCTGAGGATCGAACCCAGGCCGCACGCATGCCAGCCGAGCGCGCTACCGCTTGAGCCACATCTCCAGCCCCTAGTACTTTGTTCTTAACAAAGCCCACCCTCTGAAGAAACTTTTACCAGAATCTGACCTCCTAGAGTTTTAACATAGCCAAACTACCTGGGAGAAGGAAAATACCCAAGTCTAGCTGGCTGTAAACCTTCAATATTGGGGAAGTGAAATAATTAACTCCAGCTCCCTCTGGACATCCAGGCTCTCTAAGGGAACAGGAGGTGAGAGGCACTGGTGAAGTTCAACAGTTTAGGGACCAAGACTTGCCAGAAGATGGAGACCACGGTACTATGGACCATTTCCTCTTCCCACACTTACCCTACATCTCTAAAGGCCTGTTTACCACAGTGCCTTTTACCCAGTGCGTGTCAACATTTTAACAAAAAAATTACTCAGCATGATGACTGTTTTCTTTTTGTTTGTCCTCATGTACTTTAAAATACTCAAGCATTAAATATAAGTTTTTAGGTCCTCAGGTTAACCAGAGAGTATTCTGTTTAGAGGTTTCTGAGTCAGTCAGGGAGTATTTATTTGTAAACTTTTTATAATGATTATTATGTTCGAAATTTATCTGTATTTAGCTTCTAACTCTTCTCTAATGATTACATAAATTTACATTTACTTACTGGAAGAGATAATAAGCAACTCATACAGAAGACTTTTTTTTTTTCAGCTTCCAGATAAATGTCTTTTTACAGAAATGGATAAGGACAAAAGAAGGATTGCTCAAAAAAATAAAGTGTTGAGCATTAATATGAAAGAGTCATGGGATACCCTGAATAGGAAAATTGAACAAAGCAGAATTAGATATTTAGAGAACTTTCAAAAGCAAAATAAAAAACAGTAAAAATCAGAGGATGTTATTAGATAAAGACCAGAATATTGAAGAACATAAATTCTACATTAATAGGATGTTTTGTTTGGCCATTTCACCATCATATCACTTCTTTCAATACTTTTTTTCTATAATATATTTTATTAAATAATAAAACACTTCACTGTCATACTGACTTCTTTTTGTTAACACATATTAATTGCACATGTTGATGGGGTCAGTGTGGTAATCCCAGAGGTTCATTCAGAGCGCATTAATCAAATCCAGCCACTCTTCTGCCCTCCCCTTCCCATAGCAACTTCTTCCACCCAGGCATTAAACTATGCTTAAGAAGCTATATACATCATCCTCCAAAGGTAGCAAAGCCCCCTCTCTGGTTCATGTGAAGATCTGGGTGTGTTATTCAATCTAAAATAGGAGGATTGTGTAGGTGATAGTCCGTACATGTGGTGTCCTATAAATGTTAATCTGACTCACTGATCAATTGTATGGGTTGATCACTAAAGAAAATTGAAAAACTGTGCCAAATAGAAAAATTAGAAAAAGCAATAAAATCCAGAAAGGTAATCATTTAATTTGGGTAGCATTGGAAGAAATAATTGAATAAGAATTAAAAAAAAAAAAAAAAGGTAACTTGAGATACAAAAGAGACTGAATATAACCTTGAAATGAATAAAAATTAACAGAATGAGTAGGACTATCCTCTGTATTTCAGCCTTGGTATTTCATCTCTTGTTTAAGAGCATAGAATCACCATGCCATACCAGTTAGCAAGATAATCGATTTACATGTGTTTCTTTTTTTTTTTTTTCCCAGCTCTTATTTCTGTGGGGTTTAATTTTCATTTTTAAAGAACTATTTGACATAATTTTTTTGATGTTACCCCTTCAGAAAATGTAGTGGTGACGTAGAAGAATTTATATCATGTAATTTAAAAATATCTTGAAGGTAAAAAGGAAAGGTAGTAATATTTTTCTTTTGGGGTGGGGATCATTTCAGGCATAGCCCTTTTGTACCTGCAGCTGTACCGGGTCACTTGTGACCAGACATACCTGCTTCGATCTCTGGATTATGTAAAGAGAACACTTAGGAACCTGAATGGTCGCAGGGTCACTTTCCTCTGTGGAGATGCTGGGCCCCTTGCTGTAGGAGCTGTGATATATCATAAACTCAAAAGTGACTGTGAATCCCAGGAATGCATCACAAAGTAAGTTTTTAGTTCTGGAAACATTTTCTTTAAATTCTTAGCTGTAGAAAAATATACAAAAAAGAAATTATTTTTAACTTACTCTCCTGTTGCAAACAGGTCTCCCTAAGAAGTAAAAGGGTTTGTATGTCCACTTTTTTTTTTTTTTGTACCAGACATTACTCCCAGGAGTGCTTAACCACCGAACCACATCCCCAGCCTGTTTTTTAATTTTTTATTTTGAGATAGGATCTCACTAAGTTGCTTAAGGTCCCCCTAAGTTGCTGAGGCCAGCTTTGAACTTAGCGATCTTCCTGCCTCAGGCTCTGCGCCCCTAGTATTACAGGTGTGTGCCACTTTGCTTAACTGTATGTCACTCTTGAGCATTTTAGTGAAATCATGTTATTTTTCTATTCAAGCATGAGTATTTCTTAATTTCAGAGGGACTTTAATCATTTTTCCTAAATAATTTTTGGTTGCCCTCAATGCATGAAAATTAGCTCACAATGCTGTAGATCCACAAGAATAAATTAATCATAGTTTAACTTTTAACTGATTAGTTATATTAATGAAGAGCAAGTAAGGAATATGTTTCATTGTACTTATTGGTTTATATTCCTTCTTGAAGAAGTAGAAATCAGGGCTTAGTTCTAGGACCTGATCTAGTATATGTTAGTTAATGTCTGTTGAAAGTTAGAATGATTCATACTCATTCCTAAGCACTGGCAGCATTTCAGTGCCATTTTTATTTAGATTTTAAATCACTTTGTTCTAATGCTAGATGAATTATGTTACATGGTTTAGAATAAATATAAAGGTATACATTTTGAACAGAAAGATTTTTTTTCTTTCTTTCTTTAATGGTGCTGAGGTTGGGACCTAGGGTCTTGTAACAGAGGCCTGACTCTGGGTATCCAAAAAGTAGGCGTAGCTACTTGCTAAAAAGCTAAGCAGGAAAGGTAATTATAGAGTGTGAAAGGAACTTTAATCAGTATAGCTACACCAGGAAGACAAGGGGACCCATGGCCTTAGTCCTGTCTTTGAGGGACTGACAATTACTTTGAGGTTTTATAGAAAGAGTAGTAAGTGCAAGGTTGTTTACACTGTTGAAGGCTTTTCTTAACTTCCAAATAGGTGATCTTGATCAGGCGTGCTTTGTCCATCATTATCTCATGACTGGTCAGGCTGGGCCTTTTCCAAATAAGAAAATTGCACTTGACGTTGCTGGGCAAGGGATGGGGTGAAGGAAAGCTTCAACTCATTATAAGATGTTTATCCACCAGACTTAGATAATGGAGGCAGAGAGGCCAAATCTTCGCTTCTGCTTTTAGTCACCCATGGGGCATTTGCAGACAAAAGTGAAGTCTAAGTTGAAGTCTAAGTCCTTGTTACACTTGTACATGCTAGGCACACACTCTACCACTGAGCTATATTCTCAGATCAGGTTTTTTTGCTCATAATTTTTACATTTGAAAGAAGAATTAGTAAAGTGGAGAAATTCTAGTTGTTTTGGGAATTTGGGGTGCTTTTTTAAATCATAGTTTTAAATTTAAAAATAAATACATTTCTAAAGTGATGAGTTACTTGTTTCGGAAAGAAGCATTTTAGACATGCACATTTGAGAAAACAGAATTTTTTCTTGTTGCTTAGACTTTTGCAGCTGCACAGAAGCATTGTCTGCCAAGAATCAGAGCTTCCTGATGAGCTGCTGTTCGGTCGAGCAGGTTATCTGTATGCCTTACTGTACCTGAACACGGAGATTGGCCCTGGCACTGTGTGTGAATCAGCCATTAAAGAGGTATTGTGGGATTACTGACACCTGTGGGTATTCAAAGCTATCTGTTAGGATGGAGTTATGTTAGTATTAAGGCTCTGCTTCTAGGTTGAATTAGCTTTTTAAAACATCTCATAAAAATTACAAATTAGCTGCTTTTCTTTTTAGGGATATTTTTTTAAAAACTCAATATCTGCTGGGTGTCATGGTGCTCGCCTATAATCCCAGCAGCTGGGGAGGCTGAGACAGGAGGATAAAGAGTTCAAAGCCAGCCTCAGCAAAATCGAGATGCTAAGCAACTCCACCCTGTCTCTAAATTCAAAATAGAGCTGGGGAGGTGGCTCAGTGGTAGAGTGCCCCTGAGTTCAATCCCCAGTACTAAAAAGCAAAAATCTATATTCTTCTTCATCTTTTATTGATACAACTGGTTTTACAGGAACCAAGCAACAACAGCAGCTTCAAAAAGTTTGAATGTTTATTTTTCTTTTGTGAGTTCTCTGAGGTGACTATATCTGGTGACCTATCTTCTTTTTACTCTGCTTTGCTAAAAGCGTATCTTTACCTGTATGACCAATGCTAGTTTGGTACCCTTAGTCCTAGGAAGAAAGGAAAGGGAGAAAAAGCATCCTTTGTAAGGACTCCATCTGTAAGTTGCCCATCTCATGCCTGCTCACATCCCTTTGCCAGAAATTAGAAAAAATGACTGTGTTCAGCTGTTTCTAGGTAGGAGACCAGATGCCAGCTAAAACTTGGAGTACTCCACCAAAATGATGAGAAGAACATGGGTTTGAGGAAACAATTAGTGTCTTTGCCACATAGTCATTCCAAACATGATGTTCTTGTGATCTGACTAAAATCCTTCAAGCCACAACTGACCACATTGCATGAGCTTTTCATCAGTGAATCTAAGTCCTACAGTCTTTCCTGAAAAGTGTGTTTGCCAGTCTTTTGGGCAAAACATTGCAGCTACAAAGCAACTAAAAAGTCTGGGACCATTTTTAATGGGAAGTTTTTCCAGATTTTAGTTGACGTTTTTTATAAAGAACTTTTGATTCCTTTCTTAGACTTTTTTTTCTTTTTCTACTCTGATGTTGTCTTCTAAGTCCTGTCTGCCCACATTTATTAATTTATGAGATAAAAATGACTATGTTAGCTACTAATTGTTTAAAGAGTTTTAGATTAATAATCTCTCTATGTATACATAAGTGTTAATGTTAATTAGACCAGAACAAGCATGCATGTACAATTTTTTAGATTTATGGAATCTCATTGCCTCTGTAGGTAGTCAATGCTATTATTGAATCCGGTAAAACCTTATCAAGAGAAGAAAGAAAAACTGATCGCTGTCCCCTATTGTATCAGTGGCACAGGAAGCAGTATGTTGGAGCAGCCCATGGCATGTCTGGGATCTACTATATGTTAATGCAGGTAAATAACAAAATTCTGAAATACTAATACAGCAACTATATTATAATATATTAGGTCAAATACAAATGGGAAATGAAATTTTTAGACAAACCAAGCTGGCTAAATTGAAACAAGCTCCTCCTTTGAATCACAGTTGCTTAAACTCTGCTTCCCAAGAGTACATTTAGTTGTTTTTCACCCATGCTTTTCTTCTTTCCTTGTCCTCCTGCTGATTGAAGTGGAAACTTTTTTAATACAGATGGATCTTCAGGGAGTAAAAGGGCCTCTTGAATCCAAACTGAGGTAGAACTTTTGTTATATTCAGATGCCCCCAACTTATCAGTCATGTTCTGAAATTTTAACAAGTTTATTGCTATGGTTATGATCTTGTCTCTTAATTATCCTTGTCACCTACTGAATTAAGAACCTGTACTTCTGTGAAGTAGTTAGAAACCCATCCCAGGTATTACCTCGACGGATGCTTCTAGCTTCATGGCCTAAGGCCCTCTTCTGTGCTAAGTATACAACCTCCTTTTTCTTTCTTAAAATTATGCCTTTCTTTATTTTACAGAATCACAAAGCTAGTGAGTCAAGGAATAAGGATTAGAATTTAGATATCTTTTGACTGAAAGCCTATTTTAAATTTTTTTATTTTCCTTTTTGAAAAAAAGTACTACACTATGCCTAAAGGAAAATAGAGAGCTGGGATTGTGGCTCAGAGGTAGAGCACTTGCCTAGCATGCATGAGGTACTGGATTCGATCCTCAGCACCACATGAAAATTAAATAAGGGTATTGTGTCTACCTATAACTAAAAAATAAATGCTAAAAATAAAATAGAAAATTCATATCTAAACAGGACCAAAACTTTCTTTTCTGGTAATTAGCAGTCTTTGTTAATTACTGTAAAAGTAAACTTGCATATATTCCAGTTGTGGATTTTCTTTAAAGTGCAGCATGCATTTCTAAAATAACCAGAATTTCATCTGAATTTTGAAATAACAGTTACTTTTTTTTTTAAAGAGATGTTATAGTGTGATGTTTGTGTGTTAAAGTTTTCTAGAGAAACAGAACCAATAGGAGATGTAAATACACATACACATACACATACCTGAAGGAATTTATTATAGGAATTGACTTTGTGCAATTATGGTGGCTGAGAAGTCCCACTATCTGCCATTTCTAAGCTTGGGACCTGATGGTGTAAATCATAGTCAAGGGTCAGGAAGAGACTGATGTCTTTGTTCTAAGTAGGCAGGCTGGTGGGAAGGTGCAACTTCTTCCTCCTTTGTTCTACTTATGACTTCAGTGGATTAGATGAAGCCTACACACATTGAAAAGGACCACCTACTTTACTGAGTCCAGCAATTCAATTGCTAATCTCAATCAGAAAGACACTCTCAGACATACCCAGAAATAATGTATTGGGGTACCTCATTGACCTAGTCAAGTGAACACACAAAATTAAACATCACAGGATATACTCCAGAAAGGTGTTTTAACTGGTAGCTCAGGAACCTGAACTCATAAAACCATTAGGAAAAACATAATAATGTGAGATCCCCACTGATGTGGTTTAGATTCAGATGTTGAGGTTGATTTTGTTGCATATTAGGAGTTTCTTTGAGAGAAATACAAATCATGAAATTTTCCCCTCTTGTGCTTTTAAAATGAGAAACATGTTTACACTATTTAGTATTCTATTTAGAAATCCTTATCTTTTTAAAGAGATGTTAAGCAGTGTGATGGCACTGGCTGAGAGCTGACTTTGAATTTCTTTCCCCTGTTCCACATCTCTTGCTGGTGTGGTAGCATTGTCCTGTGGTGGTATTATCCATTGTGTGCTGTCACTTAAATAGAACTTCAAATTCATAATGGCATAACTAAAACAATTCTTCTCTTGAAAATCCTTTCAAAATAATAATAATAATAATAATAATAATAATAATAAAGTAGAAACTCACATTCCAAAATGAAACTAGAAGACACCTAGAGCCCCAAACTGTGAATATATAAACTGGAAAGAGGTGAATGAATGACAAATGTCCTAACAGGATAGAAGAAGATCACACAAAAGTGCCTTAATAAATTAGAGGCTGCCAGAAGGAATCAAGCCAGTTTCTCTTGCAAACCCTATGACTAAGGAATTTCAAGTGACATGTACCATAAAAGTGGCATGAGACATGTGTCTATATGGCAGTGAGGGCAGGTCAGCAGAGGGCTCTACAAACATTTTTATAAGGAGCCATTGGTTCTTTGTAAGTATCTCCATCCAGCAAAGTGAGATGACTATTTCACCTCTTAACTCCTGCTGGAAACAAAGAGGATTTAGGTCTGTTTTAGTCAGCTTTTTTGTTGCTGTGACCAAAAGACCTGACAAGAGCAATTAGAGGAGGAAAAGTTTATTTTGGGGGTTTATAGTTTCAGAGATCTCAGTCCATAGATAGATGGCTTTATTCCTTAAGGCTCAAGGTGAGGCAGAACATCATGGTGGAATAATGTGACAGAGGAAAACAGGTCAGGACATGGCCACCAAGAAGCAGAGACTCCACTTTCCAGGGACAGAACATATACCCCTAATACATGCTCCCAGTGACCCACCTCCCCAAGCCACATCCTACCTGTCATCCTTACCACTCAGTAAATCCCTATCAGAGGATTACTTCATTGATTGAGTTAAGGCTCTCATAACCCAATCATTTCACATCTAAACCTTCTTGCATTATCTCACACATGAGCTTTTGGGGGACACTTCATGTCTAAACTGCAATAGTCTGAAAGAATTGAATCTACTATTCTGATTAGAGATGCCAGGTATAGAGGTTGGTGAAGGGGGCTTGAATGAAAGTCTAAGTAGTTGTATGATGAGATCACCCTTTGTCACAGCCAGCCTCAGACATATCCTCAACCCCTGGCCAATGAAAACTCCACCCATACACCAGATGAGGGATTGAAGTCTCCTTTTTTTGAGAAAACAAGCTCAGATAAAAGATTTACAGACATAGGTATTTGAAAGTTCCCATTAAAAAAGTTAGCTAGAAATCTGTGATGATCAATTATATGTGTCAGCTTGGCTGAGCCATGGTACCCAGATATTTGGTCAAAAATTATTCTGGATGTTTCTGTGAGGGTGGTTTTGAATAAGTTTTACATTTAAATTGGTGGACTTTGAGTAAATTGTCTTCCATAATATGAGTGGGGACCTTTATCCAATCAATAGAATGTTTAAATACAACCAAAGGCAGAACTTCCCTGCTAAGTAAGAGGCTATCTTCCAGCAGACTGTATTTAGAATTCACTTCATCTGCAACATTAGCCCTTTCTGGTTATTTAGCAGACTGCCTTTGGATATGACCTGCAACACTTTTGAGTCTTCAGCCTTCTGATAATGCCATTCATATTTGGACTCAAGACTCTTAAATATATTGGTCAGTTTCTTAAAAGTCTTTTTCTCTGTATAATATACCATATTGGTTCTGTTTTGTTTGTAGAATCCCGATTAAAAAATTATCCTACAACTCTAAAGTGATTTCTACTATTGAACAAATCCCCCCGTGTTTAGAGTATATTCAGTGAGCTTTGTACTACTTTATACAAAATATAGACAAACAGCCAAAGAATTTTCAGACATTTGAAGGAAGTCTCCAACTTGAAAGATGAGAGACCTAATAAACAAGTTGAAAAAAGAAACTCAGAACATATATTCTAGGAAGAAAAAGAAAACATTCCAGAAATCAAATTAATAATTAATGTCTTTAGGCAAATAAGAGAAGCAGTTGCATACAAGAAACATTTGAGGAATAAGAAAGAGCTCTAAAAATTAAAAATATAATAGTTGGGGCTGGGGATATAGCTTAGTTGGTAGAGTACTTACCTCTCATGCACAAGGCCCTGGGTTCAATCCCCAGCACCACCAAAAACAAAACAAAATAAAACAAAAACAAGACACACACACACACACACACACACACACACATAAAATAGTTTTTGTTTTTTTTTAATTATAACAATGTTTGGAAATCAAATATCTTAGCAGACAGAAATAAACAGTGGGAAAAGAAAATAATAGGATTAATTTAGGAGGTCCAACATCTGATTAATAGGACTTCTGGTAAAGGAGAGTACAAAATAGCAGGGAGGAAATTTTAAGAAATGTAGTAAAAGAATATGTTCTAGAACCAAGGGACATGAGTTGCCATATTGGAAAAAACTTACCAAGTTGTTATATAATAAATGGGGGAAATTATCCGTACCACATTATTGTGAAAACTTAAAGAGATATGTTAAAATTTCAAGAGGAAAAAGGTCATATACCAAGGTTGGACATCAAAATAGCATTGGAATTTACAGCAGTTTCATTGAAGCTAAAAGAGAAATGGAAACGCCTTCATGTTCTGAGTAAAAATGATTTTCAGCATTGAAAATTATCAATTAAATGTGGGCTAGAACAAAGACAGTTTTAAATATCCCAGTCTCAAAAAATTAATTCCATGGGCTGGGGATGTGGCTCAAGCGGTAGCATGCTCGCGTGGCATGCGTGCGGCTCGGGTTCTATCCTCAGCACCACATACAAAGATGTTTGTGTCCGCCGAAAACTAAAATAAATAAATAAATATTTAAAAATTCTCTCTCTCTCTCTCTCTCTCTCTCTCTCTTAAAAAAAAAAGAAAAAAATTAATTCCCCTGCATCCTATCTCAGGAAGCTACTAGAAGGGAGTTAACTAAGAGAGAAATCCAGGAAAAGAGACCCTGTACAAGAGAGAGGGAATGGAATCTCCATGAAGTTGACAGGTGGCTGTCCCAGTACAGCAGTTGTACACAAGTCCTAGAAAATAACTGATTAAGAATGGAATGAGAAAATTGCAGGGAAAATTGCAGGGAAGGAGACCCTCATTGTTACATAAAATTACATATAAGAGGTTGTGATGGGAAAAAAAAAAAAAAAAACCAAGGGAGAGAATTGAAGTACAGCAGATGGGGTAGAGAGAGAAGATGGGAGGGGAGGGGAGGGGGGATAGTAGGGGATAGGAAAGGTAGCAGAATACAACAGTCACTAATATGGCATTATGTAAAAATGTGGATGTGTAACCGATGTGATTCTGCAATCTGTATTTGGGGTAAAAATGGGAGTTCATAACCCACTTGAATCAAATGTATGAAAAATGATATGTCAAGAGCTTTGTAATGTTTTGAACAACCAATTTAATAATTTTTCCATGAGGAAAAAAAAAATCAGCAGTTTTGACTTTGTGGAAAATTAAATTGAGAGACTTTGCAAACTGTTTGTGCATGAGAAAAAAACTTAGATGGCAATTCAAAGAAAACCAACTAAATAAAAGAGTGAGAAAGTTACTAACTTTTGGAAAAACTGAAAGTAATAAAACTCTTAAGATATGTACTTTAGTATGTTCCTTGTCTAAGCAGCAAGAAATATTTACATAGTTCAGTCTGTAAAGAGCACAGTGAATATGAATGTAACAAAAATTGGTGATGGAATAAAATTCTCTTGGGATGATTTGAAAAGGGAAATTATAATCATCTGCCTGCCACAGGAGAATCCCATAGATGAAGTCTAGAATTAGTAAGTCTACACTATGCAGGCATTTTTAGAAATATTCAGGAAATATGAAGATACAGCAAAAATACAAACAAAATCACAGTTGTATCCTGGGAAGAAACACTGAATGTTGCTTTTTGAAATAAGCTTCCCAAACATTTTTTTGACATGTAAAACTATTTGATTACATTATCTGTGTAAAATAACTTTTTAAAATTACTGGTTAGCCTTTTTGGAAATATATTGCATGACCTGTAGTTTGAAAAACAAAAATCTAATCTCTAAATGTGTGTCAAGGAAAACACTTAAAGATTTTCTAATATGTAAATTAAATTAAAAACATAATAAAGTAGTTTTACTTATGTGAAATTTAGAAACATTAATGATCCTTAAAATTATCTCTTTTCTTTGTGTTTAACAAAATTAACTTTTAAAGAAATGAGGTTTTCATTTTGTGTTATAGAAGAAAACATCATGTTGTAGATTTTCTTTGGCTTTAATAGAACAATAATAATAACAATTGTAAGTAGTATTTCACTTTACCATTATAATTTATATTACCTCTGGATAATTGGGAGGCTGAGACAGGAAGATGGCAAATTTGAAGTCAGCCTCAGCAGTTTAGCAAGATCCTCAGCAACTTAGTGAGATCCTGTTTCAAAACAAAAAAATAAAAGGGATTGGGGATATAGCTTAGTGGTAAAATGTCCCTGGGTTTAATTCCAGTACCAAAATAATTAATAATAATAATAATAATAATAATAATAATAACAACAACAACAATAACCAGTACCAAAATAATTAGTAATGATGTAATAACAATTGTATAATATTATATAATAATAAATACAACAATTTTTCTATAATAATATTATTATTGTTATTTTGTTGTTATTTTTATTATTTGCCTGCAGTGACAAAGCCAGTTAATAAATTTGGGAGAATTGGGATAAGAGCCACATGGGAAGAAATCAAGGATCAGTTTTTGGACCAAAAAAACATCTAAATAAAATCCTTCATAGTCCTGGATTCATTAGAGATTCAGCTTAGTCTTCTCCCTTGCTATATAATGACTTCAAGTTGACGATCCTAATGCATCAAAGTAAAAATAAAATATATCTTTTCTGACACTAATAAATTTTAGAGAGATTTTAAAGAGAGTTGAAATAAACAAAGGTCCGCCTAAGTATTTAAAACAAATAATTGAATTAATTCTAATTTTATATGTTCCTCAGTATTCCAGGTAATTTATGCTTTATTATATTAGCCATTGATACAAAGATTTTTTTAAAAATTCAGAAAAGTTGTTTTGTTTTTGTTTCTTTAAAGCCTGCAGCAAAAGTGGACCAAGAAACCTTAATAGAAATGGTGAAGCCTAGTATCGATTATGTACGCCACAAGAAATTTCGATCTGGGAATTATCCATCTTCATTAAGCAATGAAACAGATCGATTGGTCCACTGGTGCCATGGTGCCCCAGGTGTCATCCATATGCTCATGCAAGCATATAAGGTCAGTATTTCAGTTGGTTTCATAAGCTTCCACTGTACAGGATCCAGTTCTCACCAAGTTTCAGTTTGATTTTGGTAAGCCCATTCAACCGCACATGAAAAGCCGTTTTGAATTAATATTTTTATAAAATAAATAGAAAATGTCTTTATTTCACTATTCACTGCTGCTGTGACCAGTATTGTGAGTGTGTTTGCATGTTTAACAGAGTTTACATTCATGTGTAAAAGAAATACATGATAAGACTGATGATTTTCATTCTAATGAGTGTTAGTATCCAAGAAAACAGTAGAAAGAATGAGAACCAATTATTTTTTTGTCTTCACATTATATTATACCCTTGCTTGCATAAGCATTTATTGCTGGATTATAATAATTATCATTCAAGGGCTTTTAAAATTGTTAACAAAATTATTCACAAGAAATAGGAGTGGCGTTCAAGTTTTGTACCTCTGGGGTATTATGGGAAAATAGGCAGTATCTCCACTGATTAATTTATTTTTATTTTAATACATCTTTATAATAATTGATGTTGGAGATTATTGCTCATTTAGTAACAAAAGTATACAAATATAACTACAATAATTACTCTAATCAATGCAATATTTTAATAAGTTCTTTTGTTTTGAAGAGATAGATAGAATTAATGGAGCAGAATTCACATTGCTACATGAAAATAACAAAAACTGTTAACTGAATTCAATTCTTTTTTTCCCTTTATGACTAACTATAATAAATTCCTTAGAAAAAAATTGTGGTAAATTAACTTATGATATAGAATAGTTTCTCAGAATTCTTTTAGTTCTCTTTCAACAATAGCACCCCAAATTTTTAAATAGTATAAAAAATATGAACATTCAGAAATGACTCAGTTATGGTATTTGTTGAGAGCATAGATAATATTCTTCTGGAAGCTTTTTGGTTTTAGACTTTTACTCTTAAAAATCAGGAGAATTTAATGATTCATCTTAACATTATTCTAGCTTTAAAATTAAAACATAATTCTGTTCAAATCACTGTCTCTTCTTATTTGTATATTAGAGCAATTGTAACATCAGTGACATGATAATATATGTATTAATATTACAAAATTTTCAATAGTAAGGTGTTAGCATAATATTGACAGTACAAACATGTATCCTTTATTATTCATATCAGATGTAAGACTACCAAAATTCAAAGTTTTTATTTTTAAAACTCCTTTTCCCCTTTCACCTTTAAGAGTATCAGCTTTTGTAGCCCAGTCCTCCTGGTGACTCCCTGCTGAGGGGCTGCTTTATTATTGAGTTATAAGAATTCTTCATATATTTCTGATTTTTTTGTAAGCTATATATTTCACAAATAGTCTCTCCCAGTCTGAGTTCTTCTAATCATTTTTGTTAGTCAGCTTTGTGTCACTATGATCAAAATACCTGACAAGAACAACATATAGAAGGAAAAGTTTATTTTAGGCTCATGGTTTCAGAGGTTCGGACCATGGTAGGCCAGACTCCATCTCTGTGGGCCTGACGTGAAGCAGAGGCAGAACATCATGGTGGAAGGGAGTGGTGAAGGAAAGCAGCTCAACTCATGGCAGTCAGGAAACACAAAGGGGTGTGGGGGAGGGAGTATGAGCTTGCCTGTGAGAAGGCCAAAGGATATAATCCCCAAGGGGATGCTGTAGTGTCCTACTTCCTCCAGCCCTGCCCTACCTGCCTACAATTAGGACCCAGTAGTTAATTCAGATTATTAATTCATCAAATGGATTAATCCACTGATGAGGTTACAGCTCTTGTAATGTAAGCATTTAACTTCTGAATATTCCTGCATTGCCTAGCATGAGATTTTTTGGGACGCCTCATGTCCAAACCATAATAATATTCTTTCTGGTATCTGTTGATTAATAGTGTTTTTAATTTCAGTAAATTTTATCACTCTTTTGTGGTAATTAATTTTGTGTGTCTTGTCCAAAAACCTGTCTACCCTCAAGTTATACAGATAATATTCTTCTGGAAGCTTTTTGGTTTTAGACTTTTACATTTAGGCCTATTTCAAATTTTGTTTATTATATTATGAAAGGAATGAGTTGCTTTATTTTGATCTTAAGGATTGTTCCTGCATTATTTGTTGAATATTCTGTGTTACAATTTCTCCCACTTGATTCATTTGGTGCCTTTATAAAAATATGGAATGACCTAAGAAGTATGGACTTCTTTTTATTTAAAATTTTATTTTGTTATTTTGACTTGTCTTTTTGATACTGTCTTATTATAATGCTGTTTTGCTTACTTTAGCTTTAAGTTTTGAGTCTGGTAACTTAAGACTTCTAATTTTGTTGTTATTTTTCAAAACCAATTTGAATATTCTAAGGTTCTTTTTGAACTCCTCTATAAATTTTAGAGTCAGCTTATCAACTTCTAAAAAAGAAGCCTGTTAGTATTTTGAGTGAGAGTGCATTGAATCTAAAGATCAATTTAGACAGAAGTGTCATCTTCATAGTACTAAGTTTTCCTATCTACAAATATTTTATCTCTCTCCATTTATTTATATTTTATAGTGTTTTATAGTTTTTTTTTTTTTGATGTAAGGGTCTTCCACATATTTTTTTAAACTTATTTCTAAGTATTTCATTTATTTACATGTTTTTAACCATTCATTGCTTGTGTATAGAAATAGAATTGATTTTCATATATTGACTTTATATTCTGTAAGCTTGCTAAATTCACATAGTAATTCTAGTAGCTTTCTGTAATTCCTCAATACTATCTATGTATACATATAGACAGTTTTACTTCTTTTTTTCCAATTTATGCTTTTTTCCCCTTTATTTATTGCATTGCTTAGGATCTATAATACAATATTAAATAGAAAGGATCCCACCCATAGAGAAAAAATTAAATATTTCATCATCAAATATACTTAACTGTTTTTCTTAAATGTTATTTATCAGATTGAGGATTTTTCTTTCATTACTGTTTATCATGAATGGATGTTGAATTTTCTCTTTTTTTCCCTTCAGTTATTCAAATGCTTCTATAGTTGTCCTCCATTTATTTTGTTACTGTAGTGGGCTTATGTTGACTGCTTTTCGAAAGTTAAGCCAATATGTGTTCTTATTGCAAACTTCAATTGAACATGATTTTTATTATCCTTTTTAATATGGTCAGATTTAGTTTACTAATATTTTGTTAAAGATTTTTATGTCTCTGTTAGTCTATAATTTTCTTTTCCTTTAACATTTTTGTTTGATTTTGATGTCTGATTACATAATCAATTATAAAGGGTTTCCTCCTTTTATATTCAGAAAAAATTCATATTCCATATATTTGTGGCATAATTTTTATTAGAAATTCAGTTTCTTTAATTGAATTCATTTTGTATCAGTTTTAATTTTTTTCAATATATCTTCTCATTTACCTAAGTTGTGAAATTTACTGGCACAATGTTGTTCCTAAAAGTCCCTTATTATCTTTTTACTGTCTGTAGAGTCTGTAGTGATGCTTCTCTTTCATTCTTGATATCGATAATTTGTTTTCTCTATCTTTCCCTCTCCCCCCACTTCCCCTATCAGTTTTGTTAGTCTTTCAAACAAACAGTGTTTAACTCTGTTAATTTTCTTTGGGTTCTCTTTTTTACCTCATTTTGCTTTTCTTCTCTTTCCTTTAAAACTTCCACCTGATATTAATGTTCTCTTCTTTTTTAAATTTTTAAAAAATAGAACCTTAGGTCATTGATTTTTATACCTTTCCTATTTTCCCCTGAATACAGCATCTAAAACTTTACATTTCCATTTAAGCAGTGCTTTAGCTTCATCTCTGAATTTTTTTTTCTTTTTTATTTAGTTTATGATTTCTCTTCTGGTCCATGGATTATTTAGAAGTACATTATGTATTTTCAGAGAGTTGAAATTTGTCTAGATATTTTATTTTATTGTTATTTTATTCCATAGTTGTCAGATCACATATTTAAATTTTTAAAATTTTATTTAGACTCATTTTATGACTCAATATTTAGTCTGTCTTGATGAATGATGTATCAGGCACTTTGATCAGAGTGTATATTCTTTAGTTACTTGGCATAGTTTTCTTCAAATGTTAATTAGGTTAGATAGTTGAAGGTTTTATTCAGTTATTTTGTGTTAGGGGTCTACATACTTTCTGTAAAGACTTGGATAATACATGTTTTAGTCTTGGGGTCCATACCATTTCTTGTGCAATTACTCAGTGCTGTCAGTAGAGCACAAGAGCAGGCATAGATTATATAGATGAATGATCATGACTATGTTCCCAGTAAATTTTATTTACAGAATCAGATCATATGGGCTTATAGTTTGATAACCCTTGTTCTATGGCCTTTTAGATATGTTTAGTCAATTTTTTTTTTCCTCTCAGTTATGGAGAGGAGGACTGCTACAATCTTTAAATTTGTCAGTTTTTGCTTCATGTATTTTGAGACTCTCTTATTAGACATATACAAATTTATGATACTAATGTATTCCTAATGAATTGGCTCTTTTATCAATATAAAATATCCCCTTTATCTCTGATAATATTCTGTCTTAAGTCTGCTTTGCCTAATATTAATATAGTCATTCCAGAATTTTATAACTACTGTTTGCATGATATATATTTTTGTTTTCAACCTATGGACTTATATCCAGTCTAAATATCTCAGCCTTTTATTTGTAATGTTTAGTTCATGTATGTTTAATGTAATTATTCATATAGTTAGATTTAGCTCTAACATTTTATTTTTCATGGAGCTAAGATATATTTGCTGAATATTTTTTAGAATTCCATTTTAGTTTCTCTGTTGACTCTTATCTATTTGAACATTTTTAATTTTAGTGGTTGCTATAGGGATTGCATGTATATCCTTAACATTTCACACTCCATGTAGAATAATATATCACTTCACATAGGATGTAATAACTGGTAAGCTTATAGTTCTATTTACTCCCTTTCTTTACACTGTGCCATATATACTACACCTACAAATATTATAAACCCCAGTATAATTTAAAATTATAAATTTTAAATTAGAGAACAAATTATGTTTTTTATTTAAATATTTCCTAAGTATTTAAAAGAAATTAAGGTAGTTTTGGTATTTATTCACATATATTTTTAGTGTATTGCATACTTTCCTACAGGTTCAGATTTGTGTTTCCTTTCGCCTATAGACCTTGCTTTAGCATTTCTTGTAGTCCAGGTTTGGTGACAACAAATTGATTTTCATTTATCTTAGACTTGTCTTTATTTCACCTTCATTTCCTTTGCATCCTTTAAGATATTTTTAATCGGTACCTAAGACTCTTATCTCTGTTTGCAACATTAGAGTCATCTCAGAGTTAATCAATTTTGTAACGTAAGCAAACAGGGCCAGAGAAGTCACATGACTTGCCCAAGATCACAATATTAGTAGATATAGAAGAATGACTCTTAAATCTCCTGACTCCAGATCCCTTATGATTTCTTATGCATTGCTGTCTCATTTATCCTGACACATCTCAGAAATCTACCATCAGGAAAAAGAATATGGCTAAGTCAGTGGATTTTCCCATCTAATTATGATTGCTACAATGTAAAGATCATGAATCTGTGATTAAATCTGGGAGCTTATTTTCTATAATACTTAATTTTTCAAATGTCTCATTATTAAAAATTGCTTTTCACATAGAGAATCATCAGAGTATATGATGGGGGCAGGGAAACTAAAAGTATAGGTAGCATTATGGGCCTTCCATAGCATCCTCAGTCCTACCAATACAGCAGGACAGTGAAGAACACCTAACTGATTTCTCTTTCAATCTTCACATGCCCCTAGCAACCACTAGAAAGAGGTTTAGGGTTTCTTCACACACATGATTTCAAGACATAGCCTCTTAGTGTCTTTTCAGCTGTTAGCTTTGACCTAGTATTTCTTTAAAATAGGTTAAGGTGTTTCATTTTACAGTTAATTCTCAAGGGATTTAAGATGCAGCTAACAATGTAAAGTAGTCATGCTGGCAGGATAACAGAAAAAATAATGGTTAATTAAAGATAGGAAGTAGTTAGTACATGCTATGTGCCAGGTGCTGTTCTAAGAGCTTCTTGTACATTATCTCTTTTTAATTCTCACAACACGCCTTTGAAGTGAAAAAATGTTGGTGGAACTGCAAATTAGGGCAACTACTCTGGAAAGTACTGTGGAGATTCCTCAGAAAAACTAAGAACGGAACCACCATTTGATCCAGTTATTTCACTCCTTGTTATATGTCTAAAGGAGTTAAAATCAGCATACTATATTGACACACCCACATCAATGTTTATAGCAGCATAATTCACAATAGCTAAGCTATGGAACCAACCTAGGTGCCTATCTACAGATGAATGGATAAAGAAATTGTGGCTTACATACACAATGGAATATTACTCAGCCATAAAAAAGAATGACTTTGTGATATTTGCTGGTAAATGGATGAATCTGGAGACTATCATGCTAAGTGGAAATAGCCAGTCTCCCTAAACCAAAGGTCAAATGTTCTCCTGTTATGAGGATACTAACCCACATTAAGGAAGGCAGACAATAGAAGTTCATTGGATTAGACAAAGGGGAATGAAGGGAAGGTGGATAGGAATAGGAAAGACAATGGAATAAATCTGACATAACTTTCCTATGTACATATATGGATACTCCACAATGAATCTCCACATCATGTACAACCACAAGTCTGAGATCCTAATTAGAATAAGATATATTCCATGTTTGTATATTAAAATAGATTCTACTGTCATGTGTAACTAAAAAAAAACAAATAAAAATAAGGAAAGGTTATCTTTTTACAGAAAACTAAGACATGATGATTAAGTGACTTGTCCAAATTGAAAGATGACAGAAGTAGGATTCAGAGTCAGACAGTCTGACCCCAGAACCTGCCTTTCAGTTGCCATCATGGTGAAGAAATGGAATCTTGCTTTTGACTCTGGCAGCCTAATTTTGGAAACATTTAATTCCCTTCATGATTAGAAGTGCCTTTCCCTGCCTACAGCCTCAGAGCTCTTCTCGGCCTAGTGCCAGTACTCATTAGTCATTAGTAGATGGATCCTGTATGCCACCATAAGTAGATCATGTCTAATGGCCTTCATGTCTTTCATTGTCCAAACTCATTTGTACTTAAATGGCATGAGTTCATAAGCTGTTGAAATTATTAACAGACTCTGAGAAAAGGACCAGGGAAGCAATAAATGAAAAATAAGAAAAGAGAGAAGAAAATTTATAAGGGAGTCTGGGGAGTAAAAACAAACAGCTTCTTCTGTCAGTCATTTGCCTTCACTGTGCCTGTTTGTCTCTGCAGCTGTTCATACTTTAATAACTAATTTTTTTGGGTAACTTTAATAACTAATTTTTAAGCTTAATTTTAGGATTACTTATGCCGAACTACAAAAGAGGAAGCCAAGAAGAATAGGCTGATTGGGACTGTAAGAAATGATGCACTGTTAGTGCTATTGGTTTTTTGTTTGTTTGTTTTTACCCTAGTGCCATTTCTGTTTTCCTAACATTGTGTAATTTTCTAACCAGGAAGGAAAAGGATTTTACTAACTCTTCATTGAGACCATCTTATTAACACTGTTTTGGTTTTTTACTGCCCAGGTTTTTAAGGAGGAGAAATACCTGAAAGAGGCCATGGAGTGTAGTGATGTGATTTGGCAGCGAGGTTTGCTCCGAAAGGGATACGGGATTTGCCATGGGACCTCTGGGAATGGCTATTCTTTTCTGTCTCTTTACCATGTCACAAAGGATAAAAAGTATCTCTACCGAGCTTGCAAGGTGAGGACATCTGAACACCCCAGAACTTGTACAAAGTCCCCAAACAGTTCTTTTTCTTCTTTTAACCTGTTTTTCCCACCTTACACATGTTTACTAAAACTTAATTTGCTTTCTACCTTCCAAATCTGCTTCCTTTTTTGATCACAAGGGAAAACCCCTGGTTTCTTCTGGCAAAGTTTTGTCCCTGGCCTCCCTATACTGTGGTGTACTTGTCTATAAGACAGGAATAACACATGTAAATGACCTCTGAAGAACAGGAGTTTTGGAGTCACACTACTTGGTTAGAATTACCATCTATACTGTGTTTATTTGTTATAAAACTGTGTAATTTTATGAATTTAAGCACATTTCTTCAAGCTTCCTTTTCAAATAAATATTTGCTAGTATATTCATTATTATACGCATTTCATAGAATAGAGGTCGGAAGAAAATATTTACCATGAGTCTTGATAGATGGAGTCCTTATGGTTGATATATTCTTTATACCTTTTGATCAATGAACATCTGTTACAATTATAGTCATTTTCTTAACTGAAATAGAATATACCTCTTGTTGGTGCCTCTGAGTAAACACACACAGAGGATTGTGGATACTGTAGAAGCACATTAAGAGGTTAGGGCCCAAACTGGGTGTGGGAGTTCAGAAAAAACATCCAGACTAGTACCTACAGAACAGCTAGAAGTTCAGCAAAGAGGTATGAGGTAAGGTATTAAAAAGAGAAGAAACTGCTCTGGAGTTGTGAGGCACACAGGGTAGCTGTGTGAAGTTTGTGGTAGCTGCAGCTTGGAGTGGGGAGGCCAGAACAGGAGAGACAGAGGTATAAAGCAGCTAGGTTCTGCAGGCTGCATCAGCCTTGATAATTATAATTGTAGATGTTTAAGTAAATATGGGGACTTTGAAGACTTTAGTAGGATTAAGATACAGCTGGTTCTTCAATGATGAAATCTCAGGTGGACCAGGAGCCAGGTGGCTAAGGGGTGGAATACATTCCTGATAGGGAGAATAACTTGTATAAAACTGCCAAGGCACAAAATAGCTCTGTGTATTCTGGAAACTCTGAGCACTTCAGTGTTGTGGGATGTCATAGGAAGAGTGGTTAGTAAGAGATAAAGTTATGCGGGCAGAAGCCAAAGAAAATAAGTCTGTTAGCAGTTTTCAACCTCAGTAACACCTGACATCACAGGGCCCACTGTAGACCAATTAAGTGAGAGAGTGTGTCACTAATAGTTTAAAGCCTCTGCAGGTGATTTTAATAATCAGCTGGCATTGATTACTGATTTGAAAGATGGGGGTCCATTTTGAGACTCCTCTTTTAGAAAGATGGCTTTAGTTCCATTCGGAAGGATGAGGCAGAGGTTGTGTTTCCACACATTAATGCAAGAAAAAATATGGTAGAATGGAGAGTTTAGGATGTAGAACAGAATTTAGTGCCATCTTTTTTTTCTTTAGGGTGGAGAGGATGGAAATACCTGAGTGTTTTCCTATTGCCTAAGAAAACCAGGTAGATGCTGATCAAACAAGGGAAAAGAGGAAGCATATTTGGAAAATACAAAACAGAACAAGTGTTATTAAACATGTGCTAAATTTGATATTGTTACCTTAAGAAAATAAAATGGAAGTTTATTATAATATAGAAAAATCCCATTGAAGAGGTTTGAGAACTCAATATTTCTCAAAAGGAAAGCACTGACAAAGCTAAGGGATGAGGCATTTTCAAGGTGGAACTGTCAAACAATGGTGCATAAGAAAGTGGAGGAATCGGAGATAAGAAAAGTGAGAGTATAGATTATGTTTAACAAGAGTGTGACTGAGAATGGCCCTGGCCAGGGCTGATGCTGCTGCCACAGGAGATCACCAGGGGGAGCCAGCAGCTGATTCTGCAGGCAGCTTCCGAGCCAGGTTTTTTAATTCAAAGCAAGTGTTTGGAGTTACTTTGGAAATGATAACTGGGTGGGCAGCTGCAGATGCCTAGAAAGGACAGACAATGGATGAGGTAGATACCACCTTGCAGATGAAAAAACAGGTGAAGAGAGGTGCATAACATAACTTGCCAGGACTCAGCCCTCTGAGAGGAAGTAGCACTGTTGTCCAGTCCTGAGCCTTTGCTCCAAAACACTGTCGGTTCTGGTGAATTCATTGTAGTATCTCATTTATTGCCTTTCACCAAATGAAAATTCTGTTCTTAAAAAGAAATGCTTTCTTTTTAGTTTGCAGAGTGGTGTCTAGATTATGGAGCGCATGGATGCCGCATTCCTGATAGACCATATTCCCTGTTTGAAGGTAGGAGAGTAAAAAAGCAAAAAAAAAAAAAAAAACTATAGATTTAAGCATCTGGGTGAGTGAAATTGATCTCCCTGTCTCTGGGGATTAGCAGTAGTATATTTGATCTTACATGAGTAAAAATTCCAAAACTAAAATAGCAGTACACAGATTAATTGATGCCTGAAAATGATATTGAGTATGTCTTTATGTTGCCTTCTTTTTGTTGTGAATATCATCCAAGTATCTGTAGATGTGAAGTATATGCAGACAAAGTATGGAAGTGATTATCTAGTGATATGGATACAGTATGGAAGGCTTGCTACTGAGCAGTAGGAGAGATAAGCATCTGGGTGATACCTCTTGCATTTCACTTGTAATATTGTAATATTAATGTGCTCACAGGAAGCTTGAATAGTTAAAAATAAATATATTTATTTTATATAAACTTAAATTATGTATTTATATTATATATCATATATTTAGATTATATGTATATATAAATTATATAAGGAAGTATTAATAATTAATTGGAAGTATTAGTAATTAGGAATACTAGAGATTGGGAAAAAATAAACAAATATTGAAGAACGTTCTGGAAATGAGCAATAACAGGCCATCAGTAAAAGCAACAAAAATTATCAGTCTGCTCTGGGCACAACAGAATGTAACTTAAGGAAAAAAAATAACAGTCTTACAGAGGGACTTAACTTCTTTTTTTATATTTATGTGTGTATTAACTTATAAGCCACAAAAATCAAAGGACAAAGACTAAAAGGTCAGTTGAGATAAATTCATAATAAAGTAACCTTTAATTACTTTAGAGCCACATCTTATACTTATCCCAAAGTAAACTTCAGAACTAATAAAATGATTTCTACTGAAGGACATTTGGGCTTTTCCCAGGCTTCCCGACAAGTTTTTGTTAGAAGAAAGTGTTCCAGAAGCTAGCCTTATATAATAAGAATTTTACATCTGTATTCATGAAGGGTGTTAATTTCTAGTTTTCCTATTTTGCACTGTCTTTATCTTATTTTGGTAGCAGCGTAATCGTGATCTAATGAACTATCCTGAGAACTCTCCTCTCTTCTGTTTTCTGGGACAGGCTTTGTATTTATTGGTGGAAAAATTAGTGTAAATCAAATTTTAATGTTTGGTAGACTTCTCTAGTAAACATTTCTGGGTCTGGAAATTTCTTTTTCCAAGATTTTAAAATAATTTCAATTTCTTTAATAGTTATAGGGCTGTTTCCTTTTTCTGTTTCATATTGGGTGTGTTGTAGGAGTTTCCTGCTTTTGAGAAATTGGCCCATTTTATCTATGATGTCAAGTTTTTATGTGTTGAAGCTATTGGTAGTATTCCTTTATTGTTTTATTTGATGTCTAAATCACCTCTAGTGATATATGTTATTTTATTCTGACCTTGGTGATACTTTTAATCACATAATAGAAATATGAACAAAAATAGAATATTTGTCAGATCTTTTGGGTAATATGATCTTTTTAATATTCAAAAACAACATAGAGGGCTGGGTTTGTGGCTCAGTGGTAGAGCACTTGCCTAGCATGTACAAGGCACATCGTATAGAAAGAATATTTCTCAATGAGACTTTTCCTTATGTCATAAAAATGTGGTATATTTTCATCAGATATGATATAGTTAGAACCTGAACTCTAAATGGAGGTCATTCAGGTTTAGAAATTCAAGTTTATAATAGCAACTTCAAAGCCCTAGTGAGTCAAAATTGTTCAATGTACAATCCCCTGATGTCTGGGAAGTTAACTCCCTGCCTTGGGTCTTTCCAGTGCCTGTCAGACACAAATAGTGGTGGGTGTTAACGAAACTCTTGTCAGATGGACCAAGAAATAGTTATATTGAATGTCTATGTGGCAGGTCAGGCAGAGGAGCTACTAGGATGCTGGGGTTGCTGACACCTACGACCCCTCATGATGGAGCATACTCCTGCTAATGTGCTCCGTCCAGTGAGTGTGGTATCCTACCCTTTAAAACCAGAAAATGGGTCATTGCAGCATGGCCTTCTCTAGGGTCCTCCCAAAGGTGTCAATTATTCCTGTTTACTTCTAATAGGTTCCTATATAGGTTACTAGTTTTTGAATTTTTAAAATAAACTCTGGAACCTTTTCTTCAAGCAAAACTTGTAAGGGAGGCTGTAAACAACTGAAATGTCCTCCAGTAGGAAAACAGGGAAACAATCTAAAATGTACTACTCAGCAATAGGAAGAAACCAACTACTGACATACACATGAACAAAATGGAGAACCCAGACACAGAAGGCTGTATTGTGATTTATGTGAAGTTCCAAAATGGGCAAAATTCAACTGTGGTGATTGCTTCTGTGGGATGTAGCGGGGATGGACTACAGATGGACACAGGGGACTGATTGGGAGTTATAATATTCCAGATCTTGACAGGGTTTGTTTTACACAAGTGTGTGCATTTGTCAAAACTCTTGAGGAAATATGCTTAAGATTTGTGTTTGGTTTTATGTGATTTTTATGGCAAAAGAAAACTTAAGCAAACAAATCCTGTAGGAAAGGTATCGTTCTGATTGGAGTGGGAGACAGAGGCCTTGAGACTTTCAGAAGCTCCTGTCAGGGAAGCGTGAAACCTGAGGTTTAATTGATTTAGAATGGGGATTTTGACCAAAGCAAATAATGCTTGTTTGAAAATTACTGTCTTAAAACCTAAAGAAGATGTAAAGTACAACTGTTTTTTTGACTTAAAATATAAAAGCTCTGAGAGGGGAAAATTTTATGTATTGAAATATAATTGACAACATCTGTAACTTTTATGTGTGTGTGTGTGTGTGTGTGTGTGTGTGTGTGTGTGTGTATGGTGCTGGGGATGGAACCCAGGGCGTCATGCATGCTGGGCACGCACTCTGCCACTGAGCTACACCTCCAGATTAGCATCTGTAGCTCTTTGGTAGTGATTCTGTAGTATTATAGACATAAGATGAAAGCTCATGAGCCAGCTGTAAAAAAAAACTTAAGAATGAAGAATACTTGCTGGGTATTAATATAAGGATTTTCTTTTCTTCCTCTTTTTTTTTTTTTTAAATGAAATCATCTTTGAAGTCCCCAGTACTTTTTCTCATATCCTTAGAGCCCCCAGTAGAGGAAAAAATTGAAGGTTACTTTGTTGCAGATACAACCTTCATGACTATTTGTAAAAAGATCCACATTTTGCTTTACAGGCATGGCTGGCGCTATTCACTTTCTCTCTGACATCCTGGTACCAGAGACATCACGATTTCCAGCATTTGAACTTGGCATTTCACAAAGAAATTAAAAAGGTGCAAAGATAACTAAAATACATGTTGGACCAAAAGCCACCAGATTGCATAGTGCCTGACATAGAACTACCTGTAACTCCTGAAAGAGAAGAAGAAGATGAAAAAAAAAAAAAAGCAAACACCTTCACAGGCACCCTTCTGTTGCAAAGACCCTCAAGTTAGAGCATGAGTAACAGAAACCATCCCATCAACATTTTGTAACAGTGTCCCCTCATTGTGTAAAATATGAAGTCTTCACCTTCAGGTTCCCTGTGGTGTTTGCATGTTTCTTGGTGTTTGTTGTCTGTAGGTGTAAATTGTTTTAAATGGAAAGCCCTTCTCTTCACATGAGCTCAGAGATGAGCGTGCATGAGCGTATGGGGGCAGCCATACCTTTCTGTATATAACATAAAAAGTGGAGTGTCATCTCTGTTGACAGATAGGGGAGCAGTCAGGTGATGTCTCTCTTATGTATCAGAAAGATAATATAACCAGGTATGTTGGTACATGTCTGTAATCTCAGTGGCTAGGGAGGCTGAGGCAGGAGGATCATGAGTTCAAAGCCAGCCTTAGCAAAAGTGAGCCCCTAAGCAACTCAGTGAGACCCTGTCTCTAAATAAAACACAAAATAGGGCTGGGGATGTGACTCAGTGGTCGAGGGCCCCTGAGTTCAATTCCCGGTACCAAAAAAAAAGAAAAAAGAAAGATAATCTAGAGTGATATCCCACTGACTGTCAGCATTTTCCCTGGGTATTTTCAGAAGACTATGAGAGAAAGACCACTCCAAAACCTAAACAGAAACAGCAGACAAGAGGGCATTTGTTGGGAACTTTTGGGGAGTATACAGTTGAATACTGTTTATTCTTTGTGTTTTGTGCTCACTTTAGTGTTTCTAAGAAACCCCAGGAAGTGCATTAGAGCTGTCAGTCTAGCAAGGCAGAGATTTCAGGAACTTTGCCTAAAGTTCAAAAGCTCTTTGCAATTCAAGTAGCTAGTGCTCTGAGGAATGTATTTCATAATACCAAGAGTAAATTTAATGACCACATTGTAAGTAGTAATGACTGAGTGTTGGCAATTCTAGAACATGTACCCAAATGTATATTATTAAAATAGACCCCACCTTGGGCTTGGGATGTTGCTCATAGTAGAGCATTTGCCTAGCATGTGCGAGGCCTTGGGTTCAATCCTCAGTATCACAAAAATAAAAACAAACAACAGACCCCACTTCAGTTTTATCAATATGATAACTTATTGGTTATGTGGATACAATTCCAGATGGGTGATAAACAGGAAGATCCTCAGTTGGACCAATGTCCCTGCAACCAAACTTATTTCAAAAATTTAGTTTAAGTGATCAAAAGTGTAAATTTGGGATGAATATATTCCTTTTTGTACACTTTTGGGTAGTTAAAAGTACTAGTCTGCATTTATGCATATGGGGAACAACATAAGGTTCTAGACAAGAAAATTATGGTATTATCCAGATGACTATTTTTTTTTTAAAAAAAGGGGCATTAATTTGGATTAGTATATCATTAGTAATTCTATTGTGTAGATTTCCGTTTTTAGAAGGGCTTTTGTCATCATGGTACAAGAGGTCTAGGATTTTCTAAGTAATTCTCATTAGGCAAGGTAAGGCATTGTCACAAAAGACAAGATAGGACTCTGGAATGGTCTAGTCCTTGTCTACAGGGGACTGTCTAAATATCAGCCCAAGTTTCCACTCCTTTTATAAAGGATAAATAATAATATCAGTTTAGAAGATAAGTCTCCTTCATGCTTATGCAGTTTTTAGGGCGTTGCTGAGCCTTATTTGAGAGTCTGGTGCCCTAAACATGTGACCTTCAGTTTCTAAATGATGCCTAGTGACTGTCTTCATTGAAGACGCTCTTGCTTCTAAGTCATTATTATTTTTGTTCATGTTAGGGTGATGACTTCCATGGGTATAAGTCTTCATAATTATGCTTAAACTGGGTCTCTCCGGGAAGTCATTACCTAAAGGCAGGATATACCATCATGAACAAGCCAACGGGAACTGTTTTGTAGAAGGCCCCACATAATATTCAATCTCTTCCAAACAACAAGGTTCCCATCTTCCCTATCCATTTCATAGAAGAATAATATACAACCCAGCTTACCAATGAGGCCCTGCCTGTCTTGTTTCTCAAGGGAAACAATTGGGGCTTCCAGGAATTCCCTGGGGCTCTCTAGTACAGCTTTTTGCAAGGAGGAGTCAGCCAGTAGAATCTCTGATTCTGACCAGGGATCTCTAGTCCAGCAGCAGCAAGGGTGACTCTTAATTTTTATCAGGATGCTGGATGTGTTCACGTATGCGCATGTTCAAAAAATACTTACTAGTCTTTCTAATTAACGCACTAAGGGAAAGAAAGTATTCATGGAATAAATGGAAATATTATTTAAAGATTTTTCTAAGCCAGCTGGGTTGACACCTTCCACTAGATATTAACAGATGTACAGTTCTTTGATTCTATGTTAACATACTTCTCATGTCTGTTACATGGGCTGCTGTGTGATCTCACCATCATGAAAAGCAGAGGAAAAATGGCACATACTTCACAGGACAGGATTCACAGACATCAGTTTAACAATTACAAGTGTTTGAAATCAGATTTCAGAACATCTCATTCATTTCTTGTATTTCTTTGTGTCCACAACTGTGTTCTCCAAATGTACCTAAATTTAAAAATATGTACATGCACAATACCATTTCAAAATCTGAAGGAAAAAAGCTAAAGTCCACAAAAAGTATTTGAAGTTCTTTGGTTTTATTAGTAAAAGACAGTTTTGTGTGATAACTTGTGGAATCTTCATTTCTTTCCATTCTATCTGTGTGAGTAAGGGTGAGATGCACTGGTAATTATTCTGAAGATTTGATTTTTTTAAAATATTTTTTTAGTTGTAGATGGACATAATATCTTTATTTATTTGTGTTCATGATGTGCTGAGGATTGAACCCAGTGCCTCACACATGCAAGGCAAGTGCTTTTAACAGTGAGCTACAACCCCAGCCCTGAAGATTTGATTTTTTATGTGAATGTGGTGGTTACCCATTATGTTATATTTAATGGGCTCTATACATGCACTTTTTTTTTTAATTTCAACAAGACCTTCTGATACTTGGATAATAAGAAGAACAATCACAAATGTTGAACTTCAATTTTGTGACAGACCCTTTATTTTCTCAACATCATGGGGAGATGGGCAATATTATTGTTACCTTCTTAAAAAATGAGAAAATGCTGAACTCTCCCAGAGTCTCACACCTACTTCATGGAACAGTCAGGGTTCAGGAGATTCTTGCCAGTGGTCCTAGCAATTCTAAGCTGCACTCAATACTCTTCCCCCACATGCCGGATGCAGAGGTAAGCCAATGAAACCCAAGAGGCTCTGGGACCTGGCCATATGCATACAACTAGAAAATGGAAGGCAGGGCCGACCCATGCAGGGATTCTCTCTATGTCCTCATCATTTCCATTCCCCTACAACCTGCTCTGCAGGGAGGAACTCTACAACCATTTGTTATAATTGGAAACATCTTTAACTTAGGCTGTTTCACACCCATAGTTTCATTTGCTAAATCAAAAAAGAAAACAATTATCTAAGTTTAAAGTTTAGCTTCTCAAAAAAACATCTTTAAAAACTGTCCCCTCTTCACCCCAGGCTCCTTGCTGCAGCTTGTAGGGAATCTACCTTTCATGAACCTCTACATTTGGCAAGAGTCTGCATGTGTAGTAGGGATGGGGACTTAGATGATCTTCAGGAAGCTATGAGCCCACTGAATCATATATAAAATTTTATGTCTTTGTCTGAGAGAGGGTTACTAGTTTTCATCAGAGCCTCAAAGTGGTTTGTGACCAGAAAAGGTACAGGTGTCAGGTTGTGGGTTAAAGAATGTATATTGGCAAGCTGGGCCACAAAGCAGGGAGCCACAGATGCTGTGGGAGATAAGCATGGCAGAGGAATCTAAAATCAGATACCATGCTCATTTAGGAAGACCCCCAAATACACAGTGAAAGATGTCACCTGCAGGTCTCAATTTTCCATATCAGATTTTCTTGATGAGAGCCAGGTGTCAATTCCAATTTGACTCAACTGTTGGTGCCTATCATTTACCTGCTCAGCCACTGTTTCAGACTGCATAATTGGCCATCAGGCTTCTGGAAAGCTGTGTTCTATTCATTGCCTATTCTGTTCAGGTAGTCACTGGGTACATGCTTTGGGGTTTATAGTTTGTCCCTGGTGAGTGGAGCTTGCTCTCTCTCCTGCTTTCTTGTTGCTATGTCCTGACCTGCTTTCCTGGGGCACACTCTTTTACCATGATTTTCTGCCTCACCATGGCTCAGAGCAAAGTAATTGGCCTTCTATGGACTGAAATCTCTGAAATTGAGACAAAAAACTTTTCCTCTTCTAATTGTTCTTTTAAAGGCTTTCAGAGATGAAAAAAAAAATGATTAAAACACCATTTTACTGCTAGGCTAGTGAAGTGTAGGTAAAAAGTGGGGGGTTTTGATGCTTGTGTTGACCTCTTAGCTCGACCACTTACTTAGTGTGAACCTAAGCCATTTCCTAAGGCTTGGTTTTATTTCTATAAAATCAAGACAATTGCTGGGCATGGTGACACATGCCTATAACCCCAGCAACTAGAGGCTAAGGCAGGAGGGTCACAAGTTCAAAACCAGCCTCAGCAACTTAATAGTGAGATCTCTGTCTCAAAAAATAATTTAAAAAGGGGGGCTAGGGATGTAGCTCGGTGGTTAAGCACTCCTGGGTTTATTCTCCAGTACTCCAATAAAAAGTCATGACAAAGAGAATCTGCCATATTCAGTTGCCAAAAGAAGTAATATGAAAAAGTGTGTGTGGGGGGGGGTATCCAGCACATGTAAGTGCTCCATAATAGGGAGCTGAAAGTGTTGATGTATTATAACTTTTATGTGGAGAAACAGGCTCACTTGCCTAAAGAGTACAATGAAAGCACCTATCTGTCCAGCATAAAAATCCTATACTTGGGCTGAAGTTGTAGCTCAGTGCAAGAACATGTGCTCAGCAATGTACAAGGCCCTGCGTTCAATCTTCAGGACAAATAAATGACTAAATCCCTTGTATCACCACAAACCTTCATCACTGCTCTGCTTGTCAGCCCACAGCTGTTGGCCAGCTGTATTGTACATGCACATTGTGTGGGTGGGGATGTGTGGGTAGGGAGTAAGATTCTCACTGACCCAAAGTATTTCAAAGGGAAAAGTGCCACAGAAATGAGGATATCCATGTCCAATTTTAGGTGTGCTCAAAATTTGAGAGCTCAGAGGCTGAATTGTCAGCTCCTTTGGCCTTTTCTGTGTTGAGTTCCTTAGGAAATCTCCCTGGTTCTGTGCCACCTCCCACCCTTAACCCACAACTGTCCAAGATAATGTTGTGGCTCATAGGACCAGTTATCAGATAAAGTGCAGGTCACATAAGATCTTAGCCTACCCTTCAAAGTATTGCCCATAGGAGGATAAAACATGTACCAAACAGCATATCATACATTCACCCATAATCAAAGATTTTATTTTTTTAATAGTTCCAAGAACCAACAAGGCCATCTTTGCAAACAATTTTCCAGTGGAGACTGTAATGAAGTTATCAAATACTTCACTCTAAGCTTCTAGAAACAACCATGGGGCACAGTGGTACACACCCATAATCCCAGTGACTTGAGAGGCTGAGGCAGGAGGATCACGAGTTCAAAGCCAGCCTCAGTGAAAACAAGGCACTAAGCAACTCAGTGAGACCCTGTCTCTAAATAAAATACAAAATAGGGCTTGGGATATGGCTCATTGGTCAAGTATCCCTGAAGGAAAAAAAAAAAAGGAAGGAAACAACCTCCACATTTCTCCAGTAAAGCAGTCCAGCTCACCTGGGTGCCCCCAGGATCCCTTCTAGAGGCTGACAGTAGCTGAAAGAAGGGTCGTGTCCATCTGCAGTGCTGTTTCCTCGCTGCAGCTGAGGTGAATGTTTTGAGTTCTTGCTTGCCTGAAACATGTCTTTACTGTGTCCTGACACTTACGTCACAATTTATCTACAGAATTCTTGGTTGGAGATCCCTTTCCTACTGGAACTGCAAAGCATTATTCTATCTGCAAGCATTCAGTTTTGCCACTGGGAATTTCCCAGCCATGTGTTATTTCTTTGTACATGATCTTATGTTTTTTACAATTGTTTTGTAAGTTGTAGGATTTTGTTTTTCATTTGTCATGATAATAGGACTAGTCCTGGGTTCTTGGTAGGCCCTTCCAATCTGTGAACTCGTATTTTTCAAGTCTAGAAAATTTTCTTAATTTATTTCTTTAATGTTTTTTTCCTCTCTGATGACCTTGTCCCTTTTCATTGAACACCTGTTATTTGCATGTTAAACCTTCAACTATGGTCTCTGGTTTCTTCTAATGTTTTATACCACCTCTTTGTTCTTTTGCTTTACTCACTTGAGATTTCAGCTTTATCTTTCAGTCCTCTTATTGGCTATTTCATTTTTTCTTTTCCTAGAGTTTTCCTTATTCTCAGCCTATCTTTTATATTTATGGTATCCTATTTTTTATTTTTTTGGTTGCAGTATCGTTTCTTTCTGATGATGTTGATTTATTCAACCAATATTCACAGTGCTTACTCTACACCATACCCTGTTTTAGGTGCTTAGAACCTATCAGTGAACAAAACAGGCAAAGATCATTACCAAGCCAGTGTGGTGGTGCACACCTGTAATCCCAGTAACTTGGGAGGTTGAGGCAGGAGGTTTGCAAGTTTGAGGGCAGCCTCATCTACTTAGTAAGGCCCTAAGCAATTAAGCAAGACCCTGTCTCAAAATAGAAAGGGCTGGGGATACAGCCTCTAAGCTGAATCCCCCATGTCAAAAAAGAAAAGAAAGAAAAAAGAAAAACATTACCATAAGGAATTGGTAGTCTGGTGGGGAGACACAAAATTAACAAATAAGAAAATTTTCTCATACATTGTAAAATAATGATACGGAAACAAAACGAGGGTTGAGCTTTAAATATGTTGAGTTTGAATAGACATGGAGTAGTCTGGAGCATGAAGCAAAATCTGAAATAGAGTTGTCACTTTGGTGTTATTTGTATATTGACATTATATAAATCCATGAGACCAGATGAAATCACCAAAGAAATGAGGGTAAAGAGAGCGGGGGGAGGAGGGGCACTGAAGACAGAGCCTTAAGCAGAACAGTGAGAACACTGAACCTATGTGCAGAAAGGAGTGATCAGCTGTTTCTTATGCTTTGACAAGTAAGATAAAGACTGAGAATTGACCTTAAGATTAAGCTGCATGGCAGTCATTGGCTAGTTGGTCCGCGATATAGACACACTTGAAAGGAGGTTTATTACAAGAGAGGAAAGAAACAGCCATAACTGGTGAGAGCAATGTGATCAAGAAAACACTTTTAAGTTTCAAAAAATAACAGCATGTTTTTAATTGATAGGAGTGCTGTTATGGGCAGTTAAAAAATGATGATGTAGGACAGAAAGGGGAAAGTGCTGGTTTGCTGTCCTTGCATAGGAGAGGAGGGGTGGGAACTAGTGTCCAGTGCTGAACTGCTTCAGATGGGAGCACGGACATTTGATTTAACTTTGGTTAACAGATGCTGGTGGGCGGTGGGTGGTGGTAGGAGCTGTGGAAATTCTCTCCTGATTGCTTCTGTTTTCTCTGAAGTGAAGTCGAAGCAAGCAAGGCAGCATCTGCTAAGTAAGGATGGAGGAGGAGGAGGTGTTGGGATTAGAAGAGAGAAGAAGCAGTGTGAAATACT